TTCTCAGACAAGGAGATACAAACGGCAAATAAATATATGAGAAAATGTTCAACATCATTAGTCATTCGAGAAATGCAAATTAAAACAACACTAAGATTCCACCTTACCCCAATAAGAATGGCTAGCATTAAGAAATCAACCAATAACAAATGCTGGCGAGGCTGTGGAGAAATAGGAACCCTTCTCCACTGCTGGTGGGAATGCAGACTGGTGAAACCACTGTGGAAATCAGTTTGGAGATTCCTCCGAAAACTAGGTGTAGAGGTCCCATTCAACCCAGCTATCCCCCTGCTGGGTATTTTCCCAGAAGATCTAAAAACATCATATCACAGTGATATATGTGCACCTATGTTCATAGCAGCACAATTTGTAATTGCTAAAATGTGGAAGCAACCCAAATGTCCATCCACCGAGGATTGGATAAGAAAATTATGGTACTTTTATATAATGGAATATTACTCAGCTGTAAAGAAAGATAAACTCGAGGCCTTTATATTTAAATGGTCACAACTAGAGACCATACTCATAAGTGAAATAAATCAAACATACATGTGCAAGCACTGCATTGTGTCACTAGTGTAAAACTTGAAAGAGTTAATGTAAACTCGGAGGTATGATAGACACTGTGAAATGATAGGAAACCACTGAAGAGTAAAGGGCTTCTGGGATGTGGGAAAAGAGAAGGGAAAGAAGGAGAAATTTTGTATGTATGTATATACAGGATAGTTAACATGGTTGTTCTTCTGTCTTCTATTTCTATGCTGAAAGAAACTGTCAATGAGTCTTTGGTTGACCAGTATTGCATGTCTATATCTGTTTTCATGAGAAGCCACTTTGAAGATATCAATATGTAATACAACCACCATTGTTAATTCCCTACCTCTTTGTTTGTAACTCTGTATTGTCTGTATTGTGCTTGTGATATGTTGTAAAATGTTGTATGTCTGTTAATGTGTCCCTCCTTTTATCTTTAAAATTTAAAAAAAAAAAAAAATAGAAGCCATAGTGCGGACGCTGAAGAGTAAGCCGGAAAAGATGGAGGAACCGCCACCGACCACGGCGACCCCTTCAAGAACTTCGGAGCAGGGAGGGGCTGCTGAGGAGGCCCCGCGAGATGGCTCAGAAAAGAGCTGGGGACTTGTACAGGACAGAAATAGACGATTACGTGTCCAGGTCCCCGTGCCTCTTTCCCCAAGACAGCAGTATTTTATGGCCACAACTTATCCACTCATTCAGGTGCCAGCCGGGGGCACAGCAGAGCCATTAGAACTTTTGGGGGACTCAGAGAGAGGCCGGGGGTTGGAGGGAGCTGCACGTCTGGATTTTCATAAGTTCCATCCGAGCATCTTCAGAAACGTCCTTCCAGTCCACATTGTGAAGGTCCCCACAGTAGAGAGTCCCTTTTGCTCGCATTATTGTAACTGACAAGAAAACTATAAACCTATGATGTAAAGATGATGTTTGCAGATACATACACGTCACAGAATGGCTAGAGCAAGGTATTTAGCATATACAAGAGCAATTTATGGCTATAATCCATTTAGGACACAGGACCTTGTGCTTGCCAGGCAGGCGCTTGTGCCACTGAGCTATATCCCTGGCCCCAAAATTCACCCATTTTAAGTGTACAAATGAGTGATTTTTAGTAAACTTACCAAGTAGTGCAACGGTGTAATCCCCTTTTGAACATTTTCATCAGTCCAGTAAGACCCCCTGTGTCCACTCATAGCTCATCTCTGTTGCACCCTCCCATTCCAGACTCCTACTAATCTACTTTTTGTGGCCACAGATTTATTTTCATGTATATTTCTGATGTATTCTCAGGTATATTTCTGTAATAGTGTTCAACATGTTATCTTTTTTGTCTGACTTCTTTCACTTGCATAAATGCCTTCAGGTTCATTCACATAGTGCGTGTATCAGCACCTCATCCTTTTGTATGGCTGAAAGTAATAACTCCACCTGTGTCTGTCCAGTCACTATGGGATGGGCCTGGATTGCTTGCACTTTTGGAACCTTTGAATAATGCTGCTATGGATATTCACACTCAAGTGTGTGTGTGTAAAGATGTTTTCATTTTTCTAGGCCGATACTCAGGAGAAGAGCTGCTAGATCTTATGGTACTGGAAAAGGTCTGTTTAACTCTTAAACTGCCAAACTGTTTTCCAAGTGGCAGTTCCCGCGGTGCAGTCTTGAGGGTGTGCATTGAACCTTAAGTCAGAGAGAGACAGAAACAGAGAGACAGAGAGACAGGCCCTGGTCCCGAATGTGGCTGGAGCCCTGAAAGCCGAACCTCGGCAGTGAGAGTTGAATCTGAGCTCACAGAAAACTGAAAATCAGCAGGCAGTCAGCATCTGCTCCTCAGGAAAAGCACAGATTAATGATTCGATCTCATCGTATATTCTAAAATCTCCATTGGCCAATGCTCCTTTTCATGGTATGTGATTTCTAATTATGCAACATTCTACATGTGATTTTTAAAAATAATTTCCTTGAGATAATATAATGCTATGCACCTTAAAATTCACCTAAAGTGTACAACTCTACAGTTTTTAATTTATTTCTGTATCTTCCCAATGGCTGATGATGTTGAATATTACTCACGTGCTTGTTGGATTTTTTTTTTTTTTTTTGGTTTTTCTCCGGTACCGGGGAACCGAACTCACGACCTTGCGCTTGCCAGGCAGGTGCTTTGCCGCTGAGCTAAATCCCCAGCCCCGCTTGTTGGATGTTTGATCTATCCTTTGGCAAAATGTCTGTTCAGATCCTTTGCTGCTTATTTTTAAATTATACCTTTATTTTAATTGACACATAATTGTACACACTTATGGTACACAGTGCAATATTTCAATGCATATAGGCAACGTAATGATCAGATGCATATAGGCAACATAATGATCAGATCAGAGCAATTTGGTGCCGCTTTTTGTTAAGCTATTTGACTTTTTATCTTTCGGTTGTAAATGTTCTCTACTCCTTCTAAACCCAAGTCCGTGATCAGATTATCTGATTTGCAATTATTTTCTCCCGTTCTGCAAGTTGTATTCTCATTATTTTGGTAACATCTTCTAAAATACCATTTTTTAAAATTTTGCTGAAATCCAGTTCATATCTATTCTCACATTTCTTTTGGTTTTGAGAGTGAGGTAAGTGCTGAACCCAGGCGGCTTAGCAGTGGGGAGCCGGAGGCGGGTGGTAACCCGGCGTATGAAATTTAAGAAAAGCTATAAAAAAAATAGTTGACATTTAAGCTGGATCTTCGAGGATAAGAGCAGTACACCGGGCACAAAACTGAAGAAGAGCTTTTCGAGTATGGAGAACATCAGGATGGCTTTTCTCCTAATTCACTTCTTGCTACAGTTAATTATCACAGGTCCAAAACAGGGGCCCCCACCTCTGCACACCATGCGGTTAATGCTGACAAAGGCCGTCCCATGTCACAATTATTAAAATAAGGCCCACTCGTTTACAGAAGATTCAATTATAAAGCAATGCTGCATCTGCGTGGCCTCCCTGGAACCCAGGAGCAGGCTGAGAGAAGATTAAATCCGCACTTGTTAGCAAGGACTCGGGTCAGAGGCGCCAAGTCATCGGCTCTCCCTGCAGGACGCGCAAGGCCCGGATGTAAGCGGGAACGACTGTTCCAAGCAGGGCCCAGGCAAAGCCCTTACAATGACGCTAGTGTCCTGGAAACCACCGGCCAAGGCAGTGTAAACCCACCTCCGGGTGCAGCTCCCAAAGATTAAGACTGTGCTTTTTTGCAAGCTGGAAGAACGGGAGTTCAGCATCAGAAGTGACATTGCAATGCTGAAAATAAATCGGAATGGTATTTCTCAGGGCCCTCCGTGAATACACTGAGATTCATTTTCATGTGCATTTTTGTTTAAGCCAACACTGCCAAGCAGTGAAACTGCTTACAAACACTAGGATGCAGGCATGTCCTCCTTCCAGGACCCTCTCCTGATTTCGGTATCTTTTTTAGTTCTTCTCAGTCTCACTAGGAGAAAAATGGTGCTGAGATCTCATTTTTATTTGCACTTCTGTGACTCCCCAGAATATCTTTCCTTATGTCTATTAATTCACACTTCCTGCTTGGCGAATTACTATTCGTATCTTTTGCCCAGTTTTCTGGGAGCTAACTTGTCTTTCTCTTATGAATGTCAAAGTGTTCTTTGTACATAAAACTAAGTAACCTTTGCCTGCCGCAGACGTTTCCATCCCGTTTGCCGTTAGACCCAATTTATACTACTATTTCCACACTAAATTTCAGGTTGCCCATTTTAAGAAGATCTCTGCACCCTAAATTCTGTAAGTCTTTGAAACTTTCTTCTACTTGCACGGGCAAAGTTCTACTTCACACACAAGTTTAGTCGCTAAATATATCCATCTGCAGTGTGTGTGTGTGTGTGTGTGTGTGTGTGTGTAGGGGCAAAGGAACTCATCTGCAGAATCAAATGTAACACGAATCAAGCATTAACCCAGAAAGCGATCAAATCCTGCCGGTTTCCTAACAAATAGCAACTCCTCCGCTCGCTCGCCGGTGCAGACGCGCACGCTGGCCTGCAGAGGGCGCCGGTGTGCTTTCTCAAGCTCCCTGCAGGAGCCCCGAACCGGACCCGCCGGCTGTCACTCAGACAGGTGCCGGGCGCTCAGTGGTTACTTGGCTGCGCGAAGATTAAGTAGGAGTTGTTTACCCTCGGCCGAGGTATAAGCCCCGAGTGTTGCCCCGTCGTCTAGCCATAGGCACCACACCCCCTGCCTTGCTATGACTAGAGCTGTCACTGTAGCAACCAGCGGCGGGCTCTCGGTGCCCGGGCGGGGATGAGGGGCCGCAGAGGCGTCGGAGGAGAGAGGAAGGAGGCGGCGATCGGAGGCTCGCACCGCCGCTCCTGGAGACGCAGGAAAGTTCCCCTACGTCTCCAAGCCCCCTCTCCCTCTCGCACCCCTTCTCCTCCCAGGTAAGAACGAACCTGAGCCTGCCCCAGACCAGCCTCCGGCTCCACGGAAGCATCGGGAGGGAGATGCCGCCCTTGCCCTGAGGGCCAGCAGCTCCCCGGCCCCGCAGGACCCGGATCGGCTGAGCCATGAACGCGTCCTGCTGCCCGCCCTCCGCGCGCCCGACTGCGCCCAACACCTCGGAGCTCCGCGCACCCGCTTCCCTCGGCAACCACAGCAGCAGCGGCTTCTGCGAGCAGGTCTTCATCAAGCCCGAGGTCTTCCTGGCGCTGGGCATCGTCAGCCTGCTGGAAAACATCCTGGTCATCCTGGCCGTGGTCAGGAACGGCAACCTGCACTCGCCCATGTACTTCTTCCTCTGCAGCCTGGCGGTGGCCGACATGCTGGTGAGCGTGTCCAACGCCCTGGAGACCGTCATGATCGCCATCGTCAACAGCAACGCGCTGACCTTCGAGGACCAGTTCATCCAGCACATGGACAACATCTTCGACTCCATGATCTGCATCTCGCTGGTGGCCTCCATCTGCAACCTCCTGGCCATCGCGGTGGACAGGTACGTGACCATCTCCTACGCCCTGCGCTACCACAGCATCATGACGGTGAGGAAGGCCCTCGCCGTGATCGCGGGCATCTGGCTGTGCTGCGGCGTGTGCGGCGTGGTGTTCATCGTCTACTCGGAGAGCAAGATGGTCATCGTGTGCCTCATCACCATGTTCTTCGCCATGATGCTGCTCATGGGCACCCTCTACGTGCACATGTTCCTGTTCGCCCGGCTGCACGTCAAGCGCATCGCGGTGCTGCCGCCCGCCAGCGGGGCGGCCCCGCAGCAGCACTCGTGCATGAAGGGCGCCGTCACCATCACCATCCTGCTGGGGGTGTTCATCTTCTGCTGGGCCCCCTTCTTCCTGCACCTGGTCCTCATCATCACCTGCCCCACCAACCCCTACTGCATCTGCTACACCGCCCACTTCAACACCTACCTGGTCCTCATCATGTGCAACTCGGTCGTGGACCCCCTCATCTACGCCTTCCGGAGCCTGGAGCTTCGCAACACGTTTAAGGAGATTCTCTGTGGCTGCAGCAGCGTGAATCTGAGATAGGGCGGCCGGACCCGGGAGAGGCTCAGCAGCCCAGTCCCCCTTCGCCTCTGCATCTGGCCAAGATGCTTAGAAAGGAAAAGAAAAATATTGAGAGGGTATAAAAATGTGTCAACAGACACGATGACTTTTAAAAAGAGAAAGTGACAAGAACAGGCGCCCAGGGAGGACCCCAGAGTGGGTCAGTCATCTCTGGTCTCTCCAGAATCACTGGAGACCACAGTACCTTCCGCCCCAAGGCTTGCAGTGTCCCCCTGCTCCTCTGCCTTGCACCCCTGCCTTCCACGCTGGAGGAGTCTCCCACACAGGAAGCTAGCTCAGCCCTCCAGCAAGCAAACCTCCTAACAGCTCAGCCCTCCAGCAACCGGCTGCACAGGTAGCTTTGTGCTTGGTCTGTGAAAGCTTGAGTTGCTAGCCTATTACTTTAATTACAGTAAACCAAGTCTCAAAACAGTGAAGTCTTTGTGGAAAACGTGATGTGCCGCTGCTTTCCCTCTTCTTGCCCTTGCACCCACCCCAGCTTCCAAAATAGCATGGAGGTGTCTCCCACTTCTGCTCTTGTGGTGGTTGTTGTTGGGGTTTGTGCATTCAATTGAAGGCAACCTGCAAAGTCTGTTGACAAAGAGAAAATGCTGTGGATAATGAGAATGTCACTGTTGTATTCTTGTATTTTAATACCTTGCTATTTCACGGTAGAAGTTACTTTTTTAAAATGAAGATATTATTATTATTATTATTATTATTAATTATTTTACTGCCTTTAAAACAAGAGAGGAACTGGTGGGTAGGAGGCTGTGTAAATGTATATATCCCAAGGAAGCGTACTTTGAGAAACTGCAGAACTGCCATGTGGCTTTCTCGGTTTTGCTCATAGTAACTCCGTCTCCATCACATAATTAAGTCGACAGTGTCTGTGAAAGAATGTTTTCTGGCTCACTGCTCCCTTGGCTCGGCATGACATTAAAGTTGGGTGACGCTGTTCTCAATGTTCGTGCTTTGTCAAATAAAGCAACTCCTTCCCATGCACACAGGGTTAGGTTACTGACCGGCAGTGTGTCCTGCGGGATGCTGCTAGCACCCGCCAGGTCCTGTCTTGGCCTGGCTCCCTCTCCTTTGCACCGTGCACAGCCCCCAGCCATGAATTCTTATGTTGTACTGGGCCGCTGGGGTGCTGTTGTGTGTTTACCTTACTCTGGAACATATGGGGGGGAGGGCTTGAGGAATGTCTGCTCGTGTAAAACCCTGTGTTTTTTGTGATTATTTTTGGTACCTAAAGAATGTCTGCTCATATAAGCAAAACTACGTGTTTCTTGTGATGTTCAGAAATAATAAAATGCTTCTGCGGCTGCTGCACTTGTGTCGCGTTGTGGTACACCAGCTGGAGGCACCCTGAGTGACTGCCGTAGCTACTGTGCGTCATACTGAAGTCCAGGAACTATCTCGTAAGTGGCATAAATAGCTGCATTGATCGGACAGCCAGCCTTTTCTAGGGCAATGCTTTTCAGCCAAACCACCAAAACCTCCCACTTAGTTTCCGAAAATACCAGGCTTGTGACTCCCACACCACAGTCACTCCGCATTATTTTAACCCAGATGCCAAATAATAGACTCATCTGCTGGCAGGCCGCCAGTAAGTGTGGAAAATGGGCCCACGCTCCTTGAAAATCGTATTAGCACCTATTGGAATGATGGTGTCCTGGTTCTGGGTAAACAAGGGAAAATAACTTACTTTTCTTCTTTTCATATCAGTGTTCAGATTATTTCATTTTATGATTCCATCAGACCTCTCCAACAGATGTGTCATTGTACAGATGGAGACAGAGGCTCAGAAGCTTGTGGCTGTCCAAGAAAGTCCGGAGGGTCAGGCTGGCAGTACATTCTGGTCCTGGTGCTGTCACCAGCGCATTTCCAGAGTCACAGCGGATCCAGCTCTCCTATAGGACGTGCCAGCCTCCAGGGGTGCTCCCACACATGGGTGCCCCGGAGTCAGCCAGGGCCCAGTCCTGTGCAAAGTCTGACTCAGCAGGTCTTAGGTGGGGCCCACAGGTCTGCGCCACTGGCTCTGAAGCTCCTCGGGACGGGGCTGCTGATCTGAGGACCACTTTCTTCTTTCTTTCTTTCTTTCTTTCTTTCTTTCTTTCTTTCTTTCTTTCTTTCTTTCTTTCTGTTTTTCTTTCTTTCTTTCTGTTTTCTTTCTTTCATTCTTTCTGTTTTTCTTTCTTTCATTCTCTTTCCCCCTTTGGTACTAAAAATTCAAGCCAAGGCCTTACACATGCTAGGCAAGTACAGTACTCCACCTCTGAGCTACACCCCAGAACTTTATATTTTTTAAGAGAGGGTCTCACTAAGTTACTCAAACTGCCCTCAATTTTTGATCTTCCCGCCTCAGCCTCCTGAGTAGCTGAGATGAGAGGCATGCACCACTGCTGTGGGGTTGAGGACTTACAAGTGGTGCTGCACAGAGGATTTTGGAAGGCACCTGATATGACATATTTATCCGCAGTGCCTGCAGATCCAAAGCAGGAGGCAGGATAAGTACCTCACAGGCACAGCTGCTTGGACCCAGCTGTCACCCTACAAGGAGGATGGGTCGTTGCCCTTTGTTTCACAGATGCAGCGTATGAAAATAAAGACAGGTAAGGAAGTTGCCTTTGGAAATTCAGCTGCCAAGCAGATTAAGGGGAGCTTCAAACTCAGGCTTCCAGACCCCCCACACACACACAGTCTAGGCTGCGTACCTCCCCCGGAGCAGACTGGGTAGTTGGGCGGGACCCAGGTGCCCTGGGGCCACGTGCTGCCGTGGGAGAGACCCTGTTGCACGTTGGCTCCATGCACTCCTCCGGGTGTTTGCAGCAGGGTCCAGAAAGAGACAAGTAAGATCAAGAGGAACAACTCGTTATGTGATGCTGTGTTCTGTTGTGATGTGATGATGTGATGATGTGATGTTCTAGAATTTTCCTGGGACACTACGGGGCCAGGGCAAGAGGCATCAGGGATGTAAGTTACAGTCTACAGACCCTTTTCCTGGCACCATTTGTCTGGAAACTTCCCTGAAAGCTGGGATATCCCCATCTCCTCCACCACCCCTGTCTCAGACAGTCAGAGGGAACCCACTGGCCCTCGAGTTTGAAAATGCATGATTTCCCCTCCTCGAGGGGCGGACCGCATAGCAGGACTTTGCAAGTCTGTGGCCTCAGTCAAATAAAATGGATCTGCGAACTCTAGGCCTGCCTCTCGCTCGCTCTCTCTCTCTCTCTCTCTCTCTCTATTCCCTTCCCTCCTTCTCTCATAAAAGCCCACCACGGTGTTTGTGCACATGTTCAGTGACACTTGCTTCTCTCCCCATGTCCAAGGCAGAATCCCTCAGCGACTCGTCCATGGGCCTCTCTAGGTGGGTTTCCACCTCATTCCGTGGGGCTGGGAGCTGGAACAGACAGGGCCTCCAGGGCTGGAGCCCCTCTTCCCCACCCTCAGCTCCTCTGTTCATTCTCCACACAGCAGCCAGGCCGTCATCTAAAACTAGGAAGCAGAGCAGATCACACTTTTGCTCAAAACCCTCCAGCATCTCCTACCACATTCTGAACAAAATCCCAGCTGCTCACCCAGCAGCTGCCCAGCTCTCCCATGCACAACCCTGCCTTCATTACTGAACTCTGGTCTGCAGTGCTCGGTCCTGCCCCAGGACCTTTGGACATTCCACTTCCTCTGACTGAAGTCTCTTCCCCACCTTTCTGTGACTTTCATTCTCCTCCCCCCCAAATGCCCAGAGACGCCTTTCCCCACTGTTATCGCTAAAAACAGCCTCAGTCATTCACATCATCGGTGTTCCATCACAGACCTTACTGCTGTTACCTAGCTTTTGGCTTGCCTCTCTGATTCTCGTCCATCTCTCCAGCTAGAAAGCAGTGCCTGGTGGGTAAAACCAGTCAACAACAATGGGTTCAAGGCATAAGTGACGATTCACACATTCAGATATGAGTTCAATTCCAAACCAAGATGACAGAAAACACCAAGACAAACCAAGACAGTGGTCTCCAATTTGGATGAGAATCATCACCCGGCATGGAGTTGAAAAACACAGACTATTTGCCTCACCTTCGGCACCCGCAGGTCAGAGGTCGAGCTCAGATGCCCAAAACCTTGCAGGTCCACGGAGGACTGTGACACACACCCAGCTCAGGGAGCAGCCTAAACCCGAAAGCACTCATCCAGCTCAGAGAACACCATGCTCCACACCCCAGGAGCTGCAAGTTTCTCCCGCCAGGCTTCCCCTCCAGACGTCACCTACCTTATGTGACTGCTGGGCGTGGACCTAGAAACTGCCAGGAACCACACAACAAAACACAGAACAGAAGTAAATAAATAAATAAATAAAAACTCCTTCCACTGATGAGCTCAGCATTTTGCTTCTAAGACACCTTTATAGGACTGAAATTAACAAATGATGTTATGCAGCGCTCACTTACGTGCAGATACAATCGAAGCACTTAATTATAGCAGTTCCTTTAATGCTCACCCAAACCCCACAAGCTAGGCACTGTCAGCGCTTGCCCTAGAGACAGGGATCTTTGGGTCCTAGGGGTTAAGTTCCTGACCCGGGCTACTGAGCAGGTGAGAGGGGATTAGAAAGTGATCACCAGCCCTCTGGGCTAAGAGCACACCTACGCTGAATTCACTTTCCTTCAGCGCTCACAAAGACATAAAACCCACAAGGAAGGACACCCCTGTCTGAGCTGTAGCATCAGAAAGGAAAAAGAGAGTTGGGGATATAGCTCAGCGGCATAAGCACTTGCCTGGCAAGACTGAGGTCATGAGTTCAATTCCCGGTACCAAAACATAAAATAAAAATAAAAAAATAATAAATAAAAATGGAAACTAAGCTTTAGAAAGAAGGAAAAAGAAGGAAAGAAAAAAGATTTCTTAGGGGCTGGGGATTTAGCTCAGCGGCAAAAGCGCCTGCCTGGCAAGCACAAGGTCGTGAGTTCGGTTCCCGGTACCGAAGAAAAACCAAAAAAAAAAAGAAAAAAGATTTCTTGGCGGGGAGCCAGAGAGACCTAGCTGGGAAACTTCAAGCCAGCCTCAACTGCTAGGCTGTAAAATAGGGTTCCACCTTCTGACCTTCTAGAAGTTTCTAAAGCAGCCAGTTTTGTTTTGTTTTTTGCAGGCTGCATAACTGACACATGTAAATGTCTATCGCCAAGGCTGGAAAGTAGTCAGTGCTTAGAGGAAGGTGCTGTTGAACTAGGTGAAACAGGCCGGTAACTCAAAGGACAAGCAGCACAGGCCAGGGCTTGGATGTCTCTTTAACAAAGGTCACAGCCCAGAGCCCTCGGGGAGAAGCAGAAAAGGCCAGCAAAGGCCCCCTGCCCAGCAGACTTCTCTGCCAGGGAACTTGCTCCACTGTTAACATTTTCTGTTAGCATCTCCCACCTTATAGGCTACACTGACGAGGCAGAAAGAGGCGCTGCACCTACCAAGTGTAAGCGTGGAGCTCTGACAGCACAATGTGCAAAGCAAGGCATGTCCTGAGGTCCAGGGCCCAGTCTCTGGAGTCAGAGAGATCTGTGTTCAAGCCCTGTGTCTTCTATTTACTCTCTGAGGATCACGGAATTCAACTTTCTCATCTGTCAATGGGATACTGACAAGTACATTGCAGTGGTGGCTCAAGGCTAACTTAACAAGCAAGTGAGAGTTGGGGATGTAGATCAGCAGGAGTAGTCCGCTTGCCTAGTGGTAGGGTTTATCTCTAGATGTCCCCGAAGCTTCATGAGCTCATAGGGGGGCTTTGGGGTAGTAATTGGACCATAGGCATGTGATTCTCAGCAGTGGATTAGTTTATAACTGAACGTGACTTGGGAGGTGAAGCCTGCTCAGGGGAGGTGAATCCCTGGGGCCATGGCCTACATGGGTCCATGTTGCTGTCTCCTAGACCTCTCTCTTCTTCCTGCCCACCATGCCAGGAGCAAGCCTCCTCTGCCATGCACAGCTGCCAGGCAGCCCTGCCCTGGAGCAGATACGGAAGCATCTACAAGCTATGAGCCAAAGTAAAGCTTTCTTGCTTTAAATTGTGGGTGTTGAGAATTGTGTCTCAGCAATGAGAAAGTATCCGAGACCCCCTAGAGTGAGTGAGGCCCAGGGTTCAACCCCCAGTACCACAGGAAGGAAGGAAGGAAGGAAGGAAGGAAGGAAGGAAGGAAGGATGAAAGGAAGGAAGGAAAGAAGGAAGGAAAGAAAAGAGGAAAGAAGGAAGGAAGGGAGGGAGGGAGGGGGAGGGGAGAGAGGGAGGAGAAAAAATGA